GTGCATGGACGAGGTTGAGTGCAGCAACAGGAAGACTGATGAGCGTGCCTCCCCCAGGCGTGTCAGCAGCTGCCCCTCACACCTGGCCAGCAGCAGCCTCGCACCCTGATCCTCATCCGCAGAGCCCCTGAGGCTCGGGAAGGGATTGGAGCCCAGCTGCGGGATTTGTAATCCCCGGTTGGGTAACAGCCTGGCTCGGGCCCTTACAGCATCTGCAGGGGACACGTGACAGTTCCCTGTCATGTTGGTGGCAGTGTGCCTGGGCCTGGACGCCCGTGGATTCCACCATCTGGCTGGGGCCTGGGTGTGGCAGGAAAGCAGCTGGCCGACCCGATGCCCTGGGCCCACCCCTTTCTCTGTCTCTCTCTCTCTCACTGAAGAGCGGTGGTCCGCTCACCTGTGGACAGAGCTCCCTGCAGACAGGTGGTGCATGGTGCTGGTCTCGTGCACTCTGCAGACTGTGCCAGGCTCGGCACGGGTTTCTGGTTTCCTCTCCAGTGTGGGTGACCTTTCACGTTGGCTTATACTTACACGTGTTGGCCAGGAAAGTCTTTCATGAGCAGGTCTTGAGAAGGTTTGTCTCCGTCTGTCTGAGCCCATCGTGGTACCTGGCCATCCCTGGGGAGGGCCGGTGTCGTCCAGCTTCTAGGCTGTTCTGGAACCACTTTCCCCAGAAGGAGCTCTGCGATCCCAGGCGGCCTCCCAGGAGGGCAGCTGCACAGGGCCGAGCGGGGACGGCCTGTGTGTCCGTCCGTCCCCGGCAGCCTGGTAAGGAACGTGACTTTTAAATCAAACTATTTGCCGATGGTTTTTATCAAAGTACCTTTATGTATGTGTGTGCACGTGTGTATGTGTGTGCAGGGATGTATATGTGCATGTATGTGTGTCTATGTCTGTATATAAATGTGTGTCTATGCATGTGGGCACGTATGTATATACACATATGTATGTGTGCGTGTGTGTATGTGTGTGTCTCTGTTTGTATATGAGGAGCTCTGGTGGCGCAGCGCCTAAGGCATCTGACTGCTAACTAGAAGGTGGGCGGTTCAAACCCGCCAGCCACTCCTTGGAAGGAAGGTTGGGCAATCTACTTCTGTAGAGATACCACCTCAGAAACCCAAGGAGGGCTCAATAAGAGTCGGAATCAACTTGATAGCAGTGGGTTTGGTTTTTGGTGTAGGTATGTTATGTGTGTGTATGCACATATATACATATGTGTCTGTGTATACATGCGTGTAAACAGATGTGTGCTGTGCATGTATGTATTCACATGTGTGTATATACATGGGCATGTGCGTGTTGGCGTATGTATGTCTGTGTACACGTGTGTATGTGTGTATGTGTAGGAGGGAGACCTGGTGTTCTGCTCCTGTGAAGAGTACAGTCCAGAAGGCCCTACGGGGCAGTTCCACCCGGTCACGGGTCACTCGGTCACTCGGAGGCACGGTGGCCTTGACGGCACCCACAGCAGCAGCCCGTGTGTGTGTGTGTGTGTGTGTGTTAAGGACCCTGGCGCCGGAACGGCAGCCCGTGTGTGTGTGTGTGTGTGTGTGTATTTAAGGACCCCGGCGCCGGAACGGCAGCCTGTGTGTGTGTGTGTGTGTATTAAGGACCCCGGCGCCGGAACGGCAGCCCGTGTGTGTGTGTGT